ATGGGAAATAATAAAAAAAAACTATGGAGACGAGGTAATAAAATAAAAATCAAGTCGAGAACGACAACAAAGTCTTATAAACGAAAACCTCTCACCAAGCATTGGCTATTATGTTATTTCCCTGTGAATGTTCCCATCTTTATTAAAGGGCGTAAGATGACAAAAACAAGCTTTTGAAGAATCTATCTATACACTACTAAAACTCTGAGATTGTTTGTTTGTTTTTTTGCTTATATTCTCAGTCAAAAAATCATTCACACTACCGTTCGCGCTCTTTACGAAATTTCTTACTTCAGTTTTTTTGAAAAATTAAATGGTCTTTCCTTTTACTCCCGATCAACAATCAAATATCTTTTCTTGAATTATGAATAACACGAATGGATTGAAATATTTAATTAAATTATTTCAAAATAAACCTTCATTTCGGTGTAATATTGAAATTAGCTTGAATTATTCATAGCCTCTGAATAGTGGGTGACCAAACGGGTCACTGTGGTCTAGTATACCTTGAAGTTAAATACAGGGTAAATATAGCTGTGAGAAGATCAAACAGTTTCTGAGTGCCTTTCTTTAATAGGATAGCTTGCTGGAATACAACTTGAAGTCAAATACAGGGCAAATATAGCTCTGAGATGATCAAACAGTTTCTGAGTGCCATTTTTTAATAAGATGGCTAGTTTGGATATAACTTGAAGTTAAAGACAGGGCAAATATATCTCTGAGATGATCAAACAATTACTGAGTGCCTTTTTCTAAAAGGATGGCTTGTTGGGATATAACCTGAATTTAAACACAGGTTATGAAGCTGTGAGAGGATTAAACAGTTTTTGAGTTTGCAACGAAGTGCTGCATATATGAGAAAGTGTCGTAAGATAATCACAAGTCAGCAACATTTTTGAATTATGGATTACTGTAAAGTTAGACTCATCAGTGGACATCAGACTAACATGGTCGAAGAAATAAAACGCTTTTGTGTTATCAGTAAGTGGACGGAACTTTGCATTTTCACTTTTACCGAAAGAACCCGTTACAATGTTATTATTAATCTTAGATGATGTAATATCATCTACATCTTGCTAATATGTCTGTAGCTTACACGTGTCTTTCTAAGTTATAAAAAAAAATGAGAGGGAAAATTCAACAGATATTTATACAGTATATTTTAAAACTTGTTACAAGAACTAATAAATAAAAGAACAAAACATAGTAAGTGTTATATATTCAAACATTTTACACATTAAGCAAAGTAAAGGTGTTATTATTTTATTGCAATTAAATAATGATATTGTTATGTTTGTGCTCGTTTGTTAATTTCCGGTAAAAATTATTTCCGAGGAACTTTGGCGATACAAGTCCTTTCTTAATTAAAACTAGTTTATTCTTTCTCGATACAACTTTGTAACACACAGAATTTCCACAGTTACTTTAAACTTAACAACCTTTATAACACACGCTATAAATGACAGTGATTCACACACTTTATTTACGGTGCCTACTGCTCGCTTGACTCAATTATCTATCTAAACCTATCTCTTCAATCGCGCTGGTTTTTCTCGCCAGGCTTATATACTAAAAAAGAGGCCGCCTCGAACAAACTCGGGCCTCATGATCCTTCCAGAAACTCCAGCGCACATGCTCCAAGCGTCACGTGACTTGCGCTGTCATAACATTATCCTACTTAAATTACTTAAAACAATTTTTGGAAATTCATGGACGAATTATAAAAAATATAGGATTGATAAGTAATTATAACTAAAACTATAAGCATTCTAAGATTAAAAATTTAGTTATTAAAAGATAGATTTCACAATAAAGATAAATATTTAGAAAACTATTTATGTGTAAAATTAAATTGAGGAGAATAAAGCTTGTATGCTTGTAACAAGTATGTGCTGACACATGCCTTATTATAGCTTTGCCTAGGTACAAAGTAAAAAGTACATACTGCAATAAGTCTAACTGTCATTTTTTCGCCTTGCAGACGAAGTGAATGCTACTGCCTATTATACGTATATTAATGGATTCTACGTAAGGTTTGTTAACTACAGTTGCGAATGGTGTGTTGTAATTGCATCTATGGTGCCCAAGGCCTTAAAATCACACATTATAATGTTGCGGCGCCACTTTTCAACGATGTCTGCACGATCCAGCTTGCAGAGGTTTTGGCATAATAAGTGCTAATGATTATTTACCGTGTACTCAAAACTAAATAAAACAATATTTCTGTGTAAGTAATCATTTTCTATTGAACAATTTAGTAATCAATATTACAAAGTGAATGTCACGAAATAATTGATTTAATAACACATACACGTCATAAAATTACTTATTAAATTTATTTTAACTAAAACTAAATCAAACAAACTAGCCTAGTGTAAGGTGCTAAATAAATATATAAAGCAGTATTACTGTGAGCTTAACTGAAATATAAATATGTGATATTATTAGCATTATGTCTAGTGCAGGTACGTTCGTAATTATGTTAGGAAATCTGTTAATACGTAAACAAAAAGTATATAGAATAATAGAGAAAAGATCGGCATATTTCCAAAAGATGTATTATAGAAGTAAGGACAAAATGATTACCTCTGCTTCGTCGACCTTGTCAAGTCGAAATGTGTGACTCGGGCTTCCCTCTTCTTTATTCATTGCCTAATAATTTGAAGTTTACGTTCTTTATTCGGTCGTAGAATTACTGAGTCTGAATGATACACAATATTACTGAGTCTTAATGATACACAATCTGAATATCTTAGCTTCTCTTATCGTGTTTCCGAGACAGTCGCATTTATCAGAGAAACAGGAATATAAATCATACAAATATAAAAATCAGGGGCACAAATCTTTCAAAGCTCTTTTATTACTCATAAAACACTAATGGCGTCTCTATAATTTATCATCCAAAGCTATCTAGTGTGAGAAGCAGAAGATAACAGTTCACGATATAAGTATATATCACAAAATACTTTTCGCCTATCTAATCTTGTTGAAACTATCTCCGGTAAATAATCTTGGTGACAAATAAACATTGCCCATAAATTTACTATAGCGCTCATAACACTGAATAAATGAAAACTTTTAACTTGAACATTGCCAAAACACAACGTTATCCACTACCAAAAGTACAATCGACTGATGCTTACGCTCCTTGACCAAAAATACTAATTCACCATTGCTATAGAATCTGACGACAGATCGTTAACCTTCATATATGTTTTCCAAAATTGGAATCCAAAGAATGGAGAATAACTGACTCTTACTTTTCTGGAATACAATGAACTAACTTTCCTAAACTGGAATATAAAGATCTAGAATTAACTGATACGTTTTTAAACCAAAACCCAAAGATCGAAAATTAATCGATAAGTTTCTAAACCAGAATCCAAAGACTGAGAATCAGTTGATACGTTCCTAAACCAGAATTCAAAGACTGAGAATCAGTTGATACGTTCCTAAACCAGAATCTGAAGATCGAGTTTTAACTGATACTTTCCGGAAATAGAATAATAAGAAAATATATTTAGTGAGAGGCAAGTTCGTCGACGAAAATTCGAAAGAAGACTGTTACTCCTTATTCTAGAACAGAATGCAATGATAATAATTGCTTAAACTAACATATCCATAGGATCTATAAAAGAAAGGGTAATTGAAACTAACGTTCCTACAGAAACCGTAAGACAAAGAGTATCTGAAACTAACGTTCCTATCGAATCTTTAAAACAAAGAATAACTGAAACTAAAGTTCCTATACAATCAATAGAACATAGAGTAATTAAAACTAACGTTCCTATAGAATCAATAGAGCACAGAATAACTGAATCCAATGTTTTATTAAAAAGACTAATAAAAAAGATTAACAGACAATGACATATCTACATGTGTTCTTTAATTAGAATTATTAAATTAAATATATACAATCCATTTTGGAAACAGACATCCTTAAACACTATACAGGATATTCCAAAGATGCCAGACTTGATAGATACCATAAAATACTACCCTGATATTTCAAAGCAGCTAGACAGTGTAGACATCCTTAAACACTACACAGGATATTCCAAAGATGCTATACTGGATAGATACTATAAAACACTACCCAGATATATCAGAAAAGCTAGAATGTGTAGATATCCTCAATTCAGGTGATTCACATAAACACTTTCAGTTATGGATTGTACTCGATAGTAAAACAGTCAACAGAAAGTTTAACGTACTGTATGCAAGAACCAAGTCAGGTGAGCTACATAAACACTTTCAGTTATGGATTGTACTCGATAGTGAAACAGTCAACAGAAAGTTTAACGTACTGTATACGAGATCCAAGTCAGGTGAGATGCATAAACAGTTATGGATTGTACTCGATAGTGAAACAGTCAACAGAAAGTTTAACGTACTGTATACAAGAACCAAGTCAGGTGAGATGCATAAACAGTTATGGATTGTACTCGATAGTGAAACAGTCAACAGAAATTTTAACGTACTGTATACAAGAACCAAGTCAGGTGAGGTACATAAACACTTTCAGTTATGGATTGTACTCGATAGCAAAACAGTCATCAGAAAGTCTAATACACCGTATAGAACAACCAAGTCAGGTGAGTTACATAAACACTTTCAGCTGTGTATTATACTTGGTTAATCGATGAAGCATATTATTGTTAAGCTATGGTTCAATCATTTCGATAGTAGAAAGGGTTTTAAATAATTTCCTGAAATATTCAAATATTATACTATATTTATTAGGCCAGTATTTATTTATTTTTCGCACTTATATCACATTTACCTCCTGAAAGAAATGAATTGAAGTTAGGCTATTAACTCTTTAAAATTCCTCTTTAGTTTCGTCCATTTCTGAGAGAGATTTGGCCAGCTCCATCTCACAATAATATGTGAACCGTTTAGTGATTTGGCTGTCGACCAAGAATCCCTGTCGACGAAGGGACGGTGAGGTTTGTACAGAGAGACCTCTATATTTAGACGTGAACAGCGTTACCAACCCATCCATACTTGTAACTCTATGCCAAGGCGGGAATATCGGGAACGGGATTTGGAATAACACCACAGCTTGCTTGTGAGTACTACGACGTATTATTTTTATAATTTGTTATGATTATTCCTAAAGTTATTTTTAGTATTCAGTTTTGTTTTTGAAGCTCGAGTCTAGAATCATAGTTTCGGGTTGTCGTTGAAACATCTTCACCGATTTCACATCAACACACCTTCCTTACAGAACAGAACTAACAACTGGGAGGAAGAATCTGTCTAATATCACTTTCACATATTTTACATTCCACTGCAGATTTCGTAGCGCAAAAAGTGTTACATTTATATAATGTCAAAGCATTTGATATCTTTCCTGATGTAAAGAAAGCAAGCACTCTTTTCTGTCTGTCTATGTGAATGTTACGATAGGTTTTACATATAATCCTATCTAAAAGTGTTATATTTTTGTAATGTCACACAGAGCTTATAATCTCATAATATTGCTTACACAGATTTTGAACTATGTAGTGATCTATAAAACTTAACCAGAAACAAAGGTCATAATTGATAGGTATTAAACCTATCTTAATGGTAGAGAGCATGATGATGATATGGGATATCTCAAGGATAGTTATCGTCATGATCTGGTATATCTCAGGGATGGTTATCGTGATGATCTAGGATATCTCGGGGATGGTTATCGTGAAGATCTGGGATACTTCAAGGATGGTTATCGTGATGATTTTGAATAGCTCAGGGATGGCTATCGTGATGATCTGGGATATCACAGGGATGGTTATCGAGAAAATCTGGAATATCTCAGGGATGGTTATGGAAATGATCTGGTATATTTCAGGGGTGGGTACTGTGATGATCTGGGATATCTTAAGAATTGTTTTCGTGATGTTCTGGGATATATCAAGAATAGTTATCATGATGGTCTGGGATATCTCACGAATGGTTGTCATGATGATCTGGAATATCTCAGGGATGGTTGTCGTGATGATCTAGGATATATCGGGGATGGTTATCGTGATGATCTGGGATACTTCAAGGATGGTTATCGTGATGATCTGGGATATCTCAGGGATGGTTATCGAGATAATCTGGAATATCTCAGGGATGGTTATCGTGGTGATCTAGGATACCTCAAAGATGGTTTAAGTGGGCAACTAAGAAGAAGCATCATTTATGAAACACCATAGCGACTGTAGAAAACAGATAAAAACATAGTATTCTTTCCTGGCAGAAGATGTAATTTTGACTAGACATATAAACATATGCATCAACACAAATAAATTCCGGAAAACAAGAAAATATTTTCCACATCATTATGACGAAACCATCAATAAATAGAGATTCAGACTTGGAAATCAGCAGCTAGTAGTTACCATTGGTCAATTCTTCACTCGTTACACCAACTTATAATAATCACAAGTCAATTACGTTACATTCAATTCAGTTTTCCCTGATATCACATAAACTCTGAAGACGAAAGAAGGAAGACTTTAGAAACTTCAGCCCTTATATCTGAGCTACTTTAGAAGACAATGTTTTATCTACAAGTATCTCTCTGAAACTTGTTAAACTTTAAAGTTAGTGAACATGGTGATGTGAGAAACTTAGGGTAGTTAACATGATGATGTAGGAAACTTCAAGAGTTGTTAACATTATGATGTGGAAAACTTCAAAGTTAATGAACATGATGATGTGGGAACATCAAGGGCTGCTAATGTAATCATATAAGCAAGTTCAAGGGTTGCTAACGTGATGATCTTGAAGGTCTCAAAAGTAGTTAACTGAAGTAACATTTTCGAAGCATAGTCTGTGATTTTGTGTACTCCCGATTGACATATCCTTGGTCAGCAACAGAGAAGAGTAAAGAGACATAATATACAATTGCAGTTACACCTGTACCAAGAATGAGTTCTGTTACATATGAAATACATCAAGAGAATCCATTCTATAAAGAAATCTCGTTTTTACCTGTATCACAGAAACATTTGGTTAGGCGTAGAGAACACCAAGAGGCACCATTCTATAAACAAGCCCCTCAGTGGCACTGCGGTATGTATGCTGACTTACAACGCTAGAAACTGTTTCGATATTAGTGGTAGGCAGTGCATAGGTAACTCATTGTGTAACTTTGTGCTTAACTTCAAACAAACACACCTATAAAAAATCTCGTTTATACCTGTACCACAAGTACGTTTGGTTAGACGTAGAAGACACCAAGAGACTTCATTCTATAAAGAAAATCTCATTTATGCCTCTACAAGAAATACTGTTTGATTAGACGTTTACTGGCATATTTTGTTTAGGTATATGGTAAGTTTGTGCTTTCTTTCTTACTGATAATCATTTCTGGTAACTATCTATACAGCAAAGATGAACACTGAATATTGTTTTGTTGCTGAGAGTCTTTCCTAGCAATTACCTTTTCAAGGAAGAAAAACCCTGATTCTTGCTGTCTTATTGAGAATATTTCCTGCTAACTTATCTATTTAAGTAGGTCCTGGGTCCTACTGTCTTGTTGAGAATCATCCCTGCTAACTTATCTGTTTAAGGAGGACCTGGTTCTTGCTGTCTTGTGCTGATTCGTTCCTGCTAACTTATCTTTTTAAGGAGGTCTTGTGTCCTGCTGTCTTGTTGAAAATCATTCCTGATAACTTACCTTTTTTAAAGAAGAAGAACTCCGGGTCTTTCTTTATTGAAAATCATGCATGGTAAACGCTTTTAAGTAAGATAAATCCTAATTCTATTTAACTTTGACACCAAATTTCGGT